CTTGAATGTGAAATATTTAAGTTTGAAACTTTTATGAATTTTGAAAATCAGCAACAGCTGCAATAATGTTTTGTAAACTTGAAAGAAGAAAATGACTTGTTAAAACTAAAGAAATTAGGCAGTGCAGTACTTAAAGAATAGAAAATCATAGATCTACGATATAATTTAATATACTAATACAATACAAATATACTGTACATATCTATATAATTAAACTTGTATTTCCTCTGTACACGAAGTCTAGAGATTTTAATGCGATGATCTTATTCGCCCGTAACTATAAAATGTATCAATCTATCGGATATCAAGATCAACCGTTGAATTCCAATTAAGGTTAAGCTTATAAAACTGAAGAAAAAATTGTTCCACTCTTCTTATCAATATTTTTTCCAGTATTTTCGCCTGGTTTTTAGAATATGTAAACTGCTAATAACTGATTGTTCAGACCATATATACAAGCTGATAACTGATTGTTTAGACCACGCATACTAGCTGATCACTGATTTTTAGACTACGTATACGAGCTGATAACTGATTGTTTAGAATACGTATACAAGTTGATAACTGATTGTTTAGACCACGTATACCGGCTGATAACTGATTGTGTAGACCACGTTTAACGGCTGATAACTGATTGTTTAGACCACATTTACCAGCTGACAAATGAATTTTTAGACCACATATAAGTATAAAGTCTGATTGTTTAGGCCACTTCTACCGGCTGATAACTGATTGTTTAGACTACGTTTAACGGCTGATAAGTGATTGCTTAGACTACGTTTAACGGCTTATAAGTGATTGTTTAGACCACGTTTAACGGCTGATAACTGATTGTTTAGACCACGTTAAATGGCTGATAACTGATTGTTTAGACCACGTTTAACGGCTGATAACTAATTGTTTAGACCACGTTTAACAGCTGTTAACTGATTGTTTAGACCACGTTTAACGGCTGATAACTGATTGTTTAGACCACGTTTAACGGCTGATGATTGGACCCTGCAAATCAATAAAACTGAAGTGTCTGATACCGGGCAATATTTCTGCAGTCTTAATACTGAACCTAAACTCAGGAATATGTTCATTCATTCATTTATTCATTTATTCATTTATTCATTTATTCATTTATTCATCATTTCATTCATTCATTTATTCATTTATTCATTTATTTATTTATTCATTTATTCATTTATTCGTTTATTTATTTATTCATTTATGCATTTATTCATTTATTCTTTTATTCATTTATTCATTTATTCATTTATTCATTCATTTATTTATTCATTTATTCATTTATTCGATTATTCATTTATTCATTCATACATTTATTCATTTATTCATTTATTCATTTATTCATTTATTCATTTATTTATTTATTCATTTATGCATTTATTCATTTATTCATTTATTCTTTTATTCATTTATTCATTTATGCATTTATTCATTTATTTATTTATTCATTTATTCATATATTCGTTTATTTATTTATTCATTTATGCATTTATTCATTTATTCATTTATTCATTTATTCTTTATTCATTTATTCATTTATGCATTTATTCATTTATTCATTTCTTCACCTATTCATTTATTCATTTATACATTTATTCATTTCTTCATTTATTTATTTATTCATTTGTTCATTTATTCATTTATTCATCCTTTCATATTCATTTATATTCATCTAAATGCATTAAACTCATTCTTGTTGATATTTATATTCCTATGATTAGTAATTTTTCAATTCTTATTTTTTACATATTTTGCTATATTAATTTATTAATTCAAATTACTACATGGTCATTATAATTCATTCTGGACATAAGGAACCAGAGAAAATTCATTTCAAGTACCTTGCACAACTTTGTGACCTCGAAAATATTATTTTTTTCCAAGCAAAATTTCTATGTTCCTTAATTAAATATCATTAAATAATATTATTTAATATTATTATGTACCAGGAGAGTACAGGAGAGGTTCTCTCGGATTCCCCTGTGTATTCTGCAAACCCAAGGTAATCTATTAAAGGTGGTGTTAGCAAAAATGAAAGGGGGGTATAGAATAATACCGAATTTAATTCAGTTTTAATGGCTATTTATTATACCAATATATCTGTTTCGGATTTAAGGAGAAAATGGTAAAAAACTCTTAGTGCCCAAGAGTGTAGAGCCAATTATAAACTCAGAATATTGCATTTTTTCACCCCAATTTTAAATAATTCAATTTAAAGACTGAGTTTTTGTCACCAACTAAAATTGTCTAATCCCTATATCTTTACAATCTGATGATGTAAACCCTTGATATTTCAAACTTAGATTATTTGGTCTAACAGATATATCAAAGGTCTACGACATTGGGTAGCAAAGATATAGAGATTAGAAAAGTAGAGTTTGTGACAAAAACTCAGTTCCTTTAAAACTGTTCATTCAGCTTGTTACAATATTTAAATACCGGGGCATTATAATGAAGTTAATATTTCATAAAATTTTGAAATAACAAAATTTGCTGGAGTCACATTATAGGCAGCATTTCTTTCATTTTTTTAAATAACTTCGTTTTCTTTTTGCTGGAACAAATTTGGTAAAATTTGCATGTTTTAACATATTTACCAGTTTGTAAGACAGATTATAATGTTGTTAAGGCCGCAGTACATTAATGAACATTCTACATGGAATACAAACCAGATATGTGGAATTAATTTATAGGTTTAAAGGGATTGTACGCGTAATTTCAAATTACCCTCAATGCAAAGATGGCAATGCAGGGGACTTGTCCCATTTCTAACACTGAGTGTTAGAATTGGGCCAAATTTGCAAAGTTATCTTTTTCAAGAGTATATATCTTTAAATCCAAGGCGAGTAGAACAAAATTACACCGTATATTTATTAAAAAAATGGCTTAAACTATATATTGAACCAATTAATGTCAATTTTTAAACTAATGATAAAGTGTGAGAATTAGTTTTTGATGATTCTTGATTTCATTTTCGAACATATCCCGTTTTTTGAACCAAATACCGGATTTCAGCTCATGTCGCAATATCAGAACATGTTTTAAGACAATTACCGGATTTCATATCAATGTCAATTTTTATGTATTTACGCACTTTTAAAACAAAAACAAGCTTTTTTAAAAAGGAAAAAAAAAACAAAATAGGAAGTAAATACAAACTGTTATTTTATAATTTAAAAATCATTACAGCATATAAATCAAAATATTAATATCATTTGTTCTTACAATATAGATTTAACTAGAAATGCGTGAAACTGTTTGTTTAAAATGCTTGAAAATAAAGCATCCATATTCTCTAGTTTAAAAGATAAAATGTGGAAAATTATATTCTAGAAATAATTCAGAAGTTAAACTAGTCTTCATCAGATAATTTTTGTTTTCAGTGATTTATTTTGTAAGTTATGAAAGTGAGTTTTGTTTTGAATTGTGGATTATACTTAAAAACGCGACAATGTTTCAAATTCAGGATATGTTCGAAAATGGAAAACCTAAATTGTCTTGAAAACGGTCAAGAGATTTAATATAAAAGAACTTCTGTTATAATTTTTATTTTTTTTTAAAGTTTAAAATTGGGAATTGTTGTCCTCGTCATGTTTAATAAAATGTTGGTTATAGTTTTCATTATCGACTTTTACTCTGAATATGGGCCGGGATCCCGAAAACCCAGTCTTTTGTCTCCTGAAATGCCTGATTTACAACGGTATACCCTTAAAAACCTTGTTTTATCAAGTATGATCAAGAATATAACCCATGAAAGATATCTTCCATTTGGACATGAAGGGACACTTAAAATTAGCCTAACAATCCCTTTATTTTGCTAATAATCATTCTACATGGAAATCAAAACCACGTTAAATTATGTGTTCATTCACAACTTTTTGAAAAAAATGTTTTGAATTTCCAATATATTACCGGATAATTTCCAATATATTACCAGATAATTTCCAATATATTACCAAATAATTTCCAATATATTACCGGATAATTTCCAAAATATTACAGGATAATTTCCAATATATTACCAGATAATTTCCAATATAAAACCAGATAATTTCCAATATATTACAGGATAATTTCCAATATATTACCAGATAATTTCCAATATATTACCTGATAATTTCCAATATATTACCGGATAATTTCCAATATATTACCAGATAATTTCCAATATATTACCGAATAATTTCCAATATATTACCGGATAATTTCTAATATATTACCGGATAATTTCCAATATATTACCGGATAATTTCCAATATATTAACGGATAATTTCCAATATATTACCGGATAATTTCTTTTACTTATGTGTAAAATCAGATTTTTCAAAGATGAAAATAATAATTTCCCAACTTGTTATAAAAAATAATTTTGTTTCAGTACTCCGATTTCTTATATTACCGGAGCTCCCAGCATTTTTACCACTTCAGGAGACAATGTTCAATTAGGTAAGTTCTTTTAAGCAAGATCTCTTGAGCTATCAATTTCAAACACAGACATGATCTTGTAAACCATCAATGCCAAACACGGGCACGATCTTTTGAGCTATAGAAGTTAAACATGGACATGATTTCATCTACTTGTTCGCTAAATGAGGAACAATTCCTTCTCTCGCCGTAATCTAATGGGAGTATATTCCAACTAAATGTAATTGGGGTTCTATGTTAAAGTTAATCATCGTAATTACAAGCTTTACGTCGATATATACAACGGAATTAAGCTAATCATGTTAAATAGTTATTTAGTTAAGCTTATCACAATCCATGTTTGACATATTTTATCTACAGGCGTAGCTATGTTAGGTTAATTGCAATATATATAAGTTTTATGTAGCTATTTACAAGCGCATTTAGATTTACAGACAATGTACAACCTAATATATCTGGGTATTTTCAAGGTTACAAATACATACAAGGACATCCAAAAAAATTCTTTCTTTTTATTTTCAAAATTAGCCGAAGTATGATTGAAGGATGGACCAACAAGAAAAAAATAAAGAACAAGAAATATAGAAATCTCAAATATTTCCATCTGATATCATATGAATATTTAAAAATATTGTAAAAATTAAATAAAATAAATTATTAAAGCACTAATTCAGTGAAATGGGTCTTTTTACACTGCACAATTGCTGTTTCTCATGCTCATTGGACTTTTTAAACAACTAGATTCTAAAAGTCGTCTTACTATTTCAGAGTTTTCTGGTTATCAATGTATTACGAATAAATTTAGTGATTATACGTAAATTTAAAAAATTACATTTATTGCGACCATTCCTGAATCACTTTTTTACAATTACAAAATAAGCCATAGATCGAAAGAATTCATTAAATGTCGTATTCTTTACTTTCTGATAATGAAATGTTGCAGATATTTAGTTTTATAATTAAATGATTTTAATTAAATGTTTATATGGAGCTCTTTAAAACTGTTCCCGCATGTTCATGGCTATTTATTTATTTTCGCAAATACTGAGATTTACGTAAAATAGTATAAAACCCATTGAAAAATTGTCAAGACGACATTTGATAAATTCTTTCGATGTATGGCTCATTAAGGGTTTAACTGTAGAAAATTTTAATTAAACTTTTCTGGATTTTATTTTTGTTTTCATAAATAAAAACGCTGAAAAAGATTGCCAACTGCATTTAAAAATAAATGCGTATATATGTTCATTATAATTTGATAGAGATTGCCTGAAAGGAATTATTTAACATAATACTTGTCATAAATATGATAAAGATGATAAAGAAGATAAAGTATGGAAACAAAGAAAGCTGTAACTTAACAGCTGTGTCTTTATTTTGTTTTTGTGGTAAGGAATGGTTTATTTCTCTGAAGTTGTGTTGGGCACATTTTAAACCCAGTTACAGGGTGTCCCACGAAACATGACAGTTGGTGAATAGTTTTGAATGAGTTTTGAATTGGATATTAAAGACTTTTTACTGTTCATTTCGTTGAAAAAACATCTTTTCCTCGAATTTATTTTACTTTGAAATCAATTTTACTATAATATGATTGCCATATAATATTTTTATCATTCTCTTTAGTATCAAACAACTTAACTAATTATGGATGAAGACATTTTAAACTATTCACAAACTGTCATATTTCATGGGACACCCTTTAACACATAAAGTTTAAAGACGGCTTTTGTGTTTTTTTTTGTGTTTCAAGCTTTAAATAACATTTTTGTTCAGAATGTAGAATTAAATACCTAAATAAACACCGGCAACTATAATCATGACATTACTTTTCATATCTATCAATCTATCAGATAAAAATTTAGTGTGTTACATCGGGCGGATACATATATATGTATCTATAGGTAATAAACGTGCATTTCCACCCCCTGGGCGGAGAGTATTGAGTGGAATGAAAGTCGTCTTTGCTTCCTTTTTATGTTTGGAGGTTTAACTGTTTCTTGTTTAGAATGTAGAATATCTGGTTTAAAGAATCCTCCTCTCTCCTTGTACTGGACTAAGGATGGTACAGTACTTACTCCCAGGTTACTTTTTTAGACAATTTAATAGCAAGAAAATTAGCCCACGACACACACACATTGATCCAAAGATTGCAAAATCTCACTCAGAGATATGTGAGAAAGAGTCTGGGCTCTCACTCTCAATATCTATAAAAATTTTCTTAAAAATTTGAAAATCCTACCTACCAAAGTTGTGCAACCGACCTACAAAAGTTGTACATCCGACCTACTAAAGTTGCGCATCTGACCTTATACTAAAGTTGTGCATCCGACCTACTAATGTTGTGCATCCGACCTACTAAAGTTGTGCATGTGCATCCGACCTTGTTGCGTTGTTAAGTCACAGGATTGTAGTCGTGTGGATCGTGTTAGGTTTGAGACATTGATCAATTAATTGGTAGTGTTCGTATTGACACATAGCTAACAAGATTGCGCCCAGGTTGTGGCTTTGAAGTCACAGGATTGTAGCCGTGTGGATTCTGTCCAGTTAGAGTTGAATCGTTGACTGGTTGAACCTGGACTGATACAGTGTATGTGACAAACTTTTAAGAGTACGGCATTTGCTACACTGTCACAGTAAATTTTCAGTTAGTTTCATGTACCGGGCCGAACTTCAACAAACCAGTTCAAGCAGTACAGTACAAATACAGACTATATAAGACAAAACGGGACAGTACACCAAATGAATGATACCCTACCCTTCTAGTGAAATTAATGGGCTGTACCGTACGGTACAGTACTGTACCAAAGATGGAACTGTACATTACGGTTCAGGAGGATACTGTACTGTCCCACCCAGGGATAATATTGTACCTTACTAATAAAAAAGAAGGTACTGTACCGTGCTAGCTGCCCCCCCCCCCGCCGTTCCCCCCTGATATTTCACCTATATTTGTGTCCATCTAGAGTTTGCGCTTAAGCTTTAAACTAATACTCTAGCCTTACTCTAACCACCTTCTATAACAAGTTAAATTCGTTAAATTTCCCCAAACTTTACATAGTTTAGATAACACGGACTAAACTTTAAGTAAAAGAGACTGTTTACAAAAATCCATTTGGAAGAGATAAATTAAGATTATTTTCAAAACCCCGCGGTTTTTTCATGTGAACCAGAATGTCACAGCTGTAGCACGCACAATATATTGAATATCCGAGCTGGGCCAACCTTTGCGGTCCTAGTTTGGCCTGTACCTCCAATTTACAAATACTAAAGCGGCAGACCTGTGTGGTAGCTGATTATTTTGTAGCTTTCAATTCAAATGGCATTTTATGAACACTCCCTTAGGAAGTCTCCTTGAAAGATACAAATATTGCTTTTTAAAAGATTTTTCCTTCCTCCGGAGCGCGAATTCCTAATGGTTTATTGGAAAATATATTTTCCTTAAAACAACATTTTTTTCATTTTTTTCAATTTTTTTATTAAAGAGAAAAATAGAATTAAGACCTAGAATTTAGTTTCAATTAATTTCGTGAATTTGTAAAAAGCGGGAGTTACTTCTACATTTTGTATTGCTGATAAATCAAACATTCATTATCTTTATTAATTTTAAAGGTTTTGACCTTGCTAACAGTTAAAAGATTGATAGTTTTTTATCCATAAAATCCGTTAAAATAAAATTCTCGTAAGAGAGGTTTTGGATAGAAAAAAAATAAAATTTATTCAAAAATTTTTTCATGGTTCAAACTATTTTTTCCATTTTTCTCAACCCTTCTTTTTAATGCATCCCTCGGCCTTCAATTTATCATCTTTTCAAATTTGCATTTATTACACACAGTTATCAAAAAAGTGCAAACTCTCCCGCAAACATATATCAGCATTTTGCCAAATACCTATTTTACCTAAATCTTTAAAAACAAAAAAATATTTAGTTTTGTTTTGTGCAGGATAAGATCTGGAATATCCCTGGAGGTTGAAAAGCTTCCCGGAGTCTCACATTCAACCCTGTTCATGGGTCAAGCAACTCCAGCAGATTCAGGTAAAAAAGGGGTTGTTTAAAAGGGAGTGCCTGCCCCAAAAAAATGTTGTACAAAGATAGTCACAACAAGGCTCGCGCAGGGATGAAAGGTTGATACAGTACTGGTACATGGTGACGTCACTGATTAACACTATATTGGTGGAAAAATCCCAGTCCGCCGAAGAAATGCTAATCACGATGGTGTGTATACTCAACTACACCAGACCTTATCCCAAGACAGTTCTGAGCCCTATCCTCTGTGTCCTGTACCAGGTTATGATGTAGGCAACGTACAGAAGCTAGGATCCCTAGAATTGTATGACTACCTTACCCTATTCCAGGACCCATGGCACTATAGTCGCCCAGCAAGAAAACCTACTCCACTTTCCTCTTGCCCTCCTTAAGCGGAGGACTCCTTTTATCCTCCGAAAATGGAGAATCTTCCTCATTTCCTCCTCTTGTGGAGTCAACCAAAAACAGAATAGAAGTNCCTGGAACATCATTTTATAGAAAATCTAAAATTAATGTTTAAAGAAAACCAAATTATGAAATAGTCAGGATTTATCTCTAATTGGATAATGAGCTAGAGATATATGTTACTGCCATGCAATTTCTAATGGTTCTGAAACCAAACACATGGCTAAACCCTGATTGGATCAGGCGCTAATGGACTTGGCATGGGTTATACTGAGTAATCTCAATGGACTAGGGTCAATTTTAATCTGAACCGGACCGATCCCATGTACCGGCCTTAGTGATGAGAGGCAAGTACCTACCCGTCTCTATACTATGGCAGCCTGGTTTCAACTTTGATGGTGTGGCCCGACACTGTTTACAGTGCAGAACAGGAAGGTCCTGAAAATACAGTTGAATCCCAGTTTCACTACAAACTACACTCAGAAGAAGAATGTTAATTTTTTACAACATTATATCTGGTTAGATATTTGAAATTTAACACATTTTTAAAGTTCTCAATAGCTCAATTTCAAGTGGTCCCAGATTTACAAAGTTTAATGCCCAAATCGATTCAAAATCATTTTAAATTTCGTCAACTGTCGCTTTAATATTTGGTCGCTTATTTTATTTTTAAAGCATCTTTTCTAATATATCCATATTTTAGCTTTACAGAAAGTGCGCCATTGTTAATTTGGCGAGTAACTTCTTTAATATTCACCAATTGTACCCAGGGGTCCATATAATTCCATCTGATCAATCCCAAATGTTGATTGATTGATATTAGGGGCAGAAATAAACCCATAGAAAAAAGAATATATATTATAGGGGAATTTAAAGAATCTCTCGGTATGATTTTTTTCAGTCCCTTTCAGCCTGAAAGGGAGTTCAAAGAACAGTACACATTTCTGAAGTACGTAGTACATGTACACAAAAACTTGTCAAAGTTCACAATGACATAAAGTGAACTGTCATGCCCCTAAATGTACCTTGTAAATGTAAATGTAATTTGGGATCAGAAATAGAATTATATGGAATCCTAAATTATTTGCACCGTTAATAATTAATTGCTTATAAAAGTAATAATAATGATGATAATAGTTGTTTTAAACTTGAGAACCAAGCTTTGCCTTTCCCTAAAATTCAACCTACTCAGCCTACTTAACCTTCTTAACCAATACCATTCCTGTGGTTCTACCGAGTTTACTAATCTACTTAACCTTCTTAACCAATACCATTCCTGTGGGTCTACCGAGTTTACTAGTCTAAATTTGAGGCAAATCAATCCAGTAGTTCATTAGTTATGATAGCTGAAAGGGACTGAAAAAATTCATACCGAGAGATTCTTTAAATTCCCCTCTAATATTTATTCTATTATCTATGTTTTTATCTGATCAATAATGTGAAAGATATCGTCGTTTTCCATTTAAAATTTATTTAATTCTGATATTTCCTATAAGTTTTCTTGCAGTAGAAACCAGAAACAATGATTAATAATTAAATTTTTATTAGACAATTGAGATTTTTTGACATTACGCTCACAGTCCACTGGAGGGAAATCATTTGTGCGAAAGCGTATCAAATAAATTTTTTTTAGGAATATCAAAAAAATGGTTTGAAGTAAAGAAAACTTTTTTATTTAACACAATGCTTTTCTCACAGTGTCCTTGTCTTCAAATTAATATATTTTATGTATTAGATAATAATCATTTTATAGAAATTGTTTTGAACAAATTTATTCTCATAAATATCTTGCAAAAAATCTGAGGTTAAAGGAACTGCAAAGGAAAAATGAAAGGGGGTATAGGCTGAAGCCTGAGAATCTATCTAAAGACATCTCTATCTGATGTTTCTGTCTCGAGAAATTGAAATAAAACTGTGTCAAATTTATTCGAAAATTCGTATATATGCAATGTTGTATAAAAGTTGTAGTATTAAACAGATCATATTCAATAAATATGCAACCAATCTGAAACCGACGATATCTCACAGGAGTCTGAGAATCTCCCACAGGAGCCTGAAAATCTCAGTTCTGGTGACGTAATACGGACTATAGGGACTATATGTAATTTTATTATCAAATATATCTACTTTTATACAAAATTGCATATATATGAATTTACGTATAAATTTGACACAGTTTTATATCAATTTCTCGAAACAGGAACATCAGATAGATCGTTTTTATGATATCGCTTAACGCCTAAGTTTATCAGGTACGGTAGAATACGGAGGGGGGGGTTATAGTTTTGAAATGAGGATGTTTTAAGTTGGCATGGGGGGAGCTGTATAGAATCTTATGATTTCATTCTCTGCATTGTATTTACATATGTATGAAAATGGCAAAGTTATGATAATGGAGAAAACTTTTTCTTTAAATTTGCACTGGAAACATTGAACAGATCTTTTATTTCTAATTTTCTAATTGTCCAATTACAAAAACTCGGTTCTGTTCAAACAAATATTTTAAAATTTTTGGCTGTTTTTTACTCTTTAGAAAATATGAAATGGGAGAAATATGAAATAGGAGAAATATGAAATAGGAGAAATATGAAATAGGAGAAATATGAAATAGGAGAAATATGAAATAGGAGAAATATGAAATGAGAGAAATATGGCTATTTGTTAGTGTTTGATTATATTTAGGAGATTGTGATTATATGTGCGTATATAATTATGATCCAGAGATTGTGTTTGTATGTCAGTATTTAATTATGTCTGTATGGGTATGATTAGGAGAATATGCTTGTATGTCTGTATGTCTAGGAGAATATGTCTGTATGTCTGTATGTTTAGGAGAATATGTCTGTTTGTCTGTATGTATAGGAGAATATGCCTGTATGTCTGTTTTTTTAGGAGAATATGCTTGTATGTCTTTATGTTTAGAAGAATATGTCTGTATGTCTGTATGTTTAGGAGAATAAGTCTGAATCTCTGTATGTTTAGGAGAATATGCTTGTATGTCTTTATATTTAGGAGAATATGTCTGTATGTCTGTATGTGTTTAGGAGAATATGCTTGTATGTCTGTATGTTTAGGAGAATATGCTTGTATGTCTGATGTATCTCCTCCAGCTGTGGTTTCACTATTCGTATCAGAAGGTGACAGTTTTTAAAATTACTTTCTTACTTCTTGGTTCTTGGTTTCACTTTTACTAGTTTTCTCTTTTCCAGGAGGTAATTTCTCCTTTCATCGTTTTTTAAGGGGTTATTAAGACGATAGGGTTTAATTTAGAAAAGAAGATCAACTAAAAAAGTATGATCGAAGGGGGTAGGGAGTTGAAATTTTATTTGGTAGCTGCAGGAGGACTTCTTCTTTACCCCTTCTTCTCGTCTTTCTTCTCTCCTCTTCGTCTTCCTCTTTCTTCGCCGTTACCTCCTCTTCTTTCCATTTCCTCCTTTTCCTTATCATCCATGTGTCCTCCTTTTCCTTTCCATCCCAATCATTTTTTTTTAAGTTTATAAATTCTTTTCCTTTTCCCTCTTTCCGCTGATTCCTTCTAATTCTTCTCATCCTTAAGTTTCTTTTTATCCCATAGTTGTCTTTTCTTTTTATCCTTTTCCCTCCACCTGGTACATCTTCTCTACCTTTTTTCCTTTATTATTTCCTTTCAATTCTCATCACTTTCCCATTTTATCTGTTCTTAATTTTCCTTCATTTTTCTTTTAACTCCTTATCTAAGTTATGTATTCTATATTCTATATTCTATATTCCATATTCTACTACAGAATGGTTTAAATTAGAATTCTCTCCTATATTTGAACTAAACTCACTTATATTTATATATATATTAGATAGATAGATACAGTGCATACAATATATAGATAATAGATTGCATATTATTAGATAAATAGATAATATAGATCTGAACATATTAATAATCACTATTTATATTTATTATGTAAACATATTTATGAAAAATATTTATAATATGAACATATTTATGAACAATATTCATATATTTGTAATCTGAACATATTTATGAACATTACAAAAATTTACCTCTAACAAAATTCGATTTTTATCAAAGTTTAAAAATCCACGATTTTTTTATAAAATCCGCGAACTTTTTTTGTTTTTGCATTTATAAAGATTATTTTTATGTTTAGGATCTGAACAGTCTCCATTGTTGGCTAGTCTCAGTTCCTCAGGCGATTCATTCTCCTGTTCCCTCAACACATTGTTCCATTTTTCAACTTATCTATTTGTTTTTCTATTCATCTACCCATCAAGTCATTTATCTATCTATCGTTAGTTTAGTATTTCTATCATTCCAGCTTGTACCCTTATCCTTCTTAATAAAGTATTAGTATAAATTCATCATTCACATTGTGGGAAAAAATCAAAGAAAAAAAATAAACGGAAAAAGATAATGGAAAAAGTAGAGTTCCAAAAAATACATATATAAAAAAATGTATTCAATTTATTTATGTTAGTTACCGCTGGCTAATTTTAATGACTTGTTTAATTCTAATAACTGATAAACAAGGACAAAAAAATTATAAATTCTAGCAGATGAAACATTTTTTCCAAATTAAAATTTATTTTCAAAGAATTATTCTGAACAATACCAATGAGAGCCTTAAAAAAGATGATACATTGATCCCTTGAAATTGTTAGAATTGGTAATCATCCTTGAATATATCATAATTAGAATTTTAAATAATTTGGTCAAAGTTTAATACAGTAAACCACAGCTGAATAATAACTTTACTAATTCAGATTTAGAAATAAACATAAATGTAAAAATTAGGCTTAATTCACATTTATCCCGTTTTTTTTAATTAATCTTAACTTTTAAATGTTGTTTTCCATGCCATCCATATTTTCTCTGTACAGTTTACAATATTATAAAACTAAACATTTTTGCATTTTTTCTGGTTATGAAAATATTCATGGAGACATTTTTTTATTTCATGTGAGGATTTACAAAAAATTGATTGGTTGGAGACGTTTTGACGTTTGATGGCCGAATATAAACGAACCAACAGAGAAAGGAAAACCAATCTATATATAAATTTGGCTTGTCTGTCTGTTTGTTTGTCTGTCTGTTTGTTTGTCTGTCTGTTTGTTTGTCTCCAATAAACGTTAAAACGGCTGAACCGATCGGGCCCAAATTTTTTGAGGGACATCTAGGTACCCCAGGGAAGGTTTATGAATGATCAAAATTTCAAATATTTGTCTCCATCAAAATTTGATCTTCATTGAATTTTTGAAAATTTTGAAAATCCATGAAATTTTTGGTGAAAATCCGCGAATTATTTTTGTTTTGTTTTACGATGTACACAAAGAGAACATGTTCACAATTAATTTAGAAGAAGGGCTCGAAGCGCCCTCTAAGGCTAGTTATCAATATATATGTAAAGTAGTAATCTTGGTTTGGCTGCAGTTGTCTGTCTGTTTGTTTGTCCAATCATAACTCATGAACCTCTTGACCGACTTGTCGCAAATTTTGATTGTTTTCAGAATATTTCATCAAATACATTTTTCTCAGTATATTTATACTCTCGTCTTTTTAATTTAATTCTATTTGAAAAAAAGCTATAAATATTTAAGTTATCCTGAGCCAGCGATTTAAAAAATTCGGGAAAATACGGCTCGGGTCTAAGCTGTCGTTGGGCCTTATTTACAGCTTGAGCTTTCGGATTCAAGCTGCATTCAAGCTCCCAACCAAGATCTGTTTTTATTTTCACTGGACCTAACTCCTTAAGTCGAGCCTAAGATCTCGCAGCTGTCAATCACGTGACACAAGCTGTCTCGTCAGAGTTGGGTTTAAGATTGGATCTTAAAGTCGGGGTTAAGGAATTACGGCTCGAGTCGAAGTTTTTAAATCGCGGGCTCTGAAGTTAGAACTTTTGTATCTTAGGATCAAACTTTTATCTCCATCTTTATCAAAAACTCCTCTTAACCCTACTCATGCACGCTCGGCTACTTGAAAATCAGGATATGCTGGGGGGGGGGGGCAATTTGCCCCCCCCCCCCCCTAAATGTAATAGATCTCCAAATATGACAAATGATACATCATTGGAGAGCTCTTCTGCTCTACTTTTAGAATTTGCAAAAAAAGGCAAATTGAATTTTTTGCTAAATTCAGTTATACAATAAAAATATTTGCAAAATCTGTCCAAAAAATGATAAAATATAAATTTTTGAAAAGCCCTTGACCATGCCATTTCTAATATGCTTAAAAATTTGCAAAATTTTAAATAACCTGATTTGTAATTAAGAAAAACTAAAAATGTTCAAATTTCTTTTGACCGGAAAAAGTTGATATTTTCAGTCGTAAAATCCAACCTGGAGGAGCTACGAGATCACAAAGTCGACCCAATGTCACCACTTTAAACAACGGAGACTTATTTATACAAATTTGATTTAAGATAAATAAAATATATTCAAATCATTGGAATTTTTGATAAAATTGATCCAATTAAAATCGTTATTATCTCAATTACAAAAAGATTCATAAGTGACTAAAATTCTATGACTCATGATTACATTTGCAAGTAGAGAAAATAAAATCGTGCTAAAACCCTTGGAAAGTGTGAATAGTGAATAAATTGTAGAATAGTACTCTCAACAAACAATGGTAAATATGGTAATCAATTCATCTTATCTAACTATTAGAAAACTCAGAATTTCCGGAATGACATTATTATACATTGACATGAGCCCCCCCCCCCCACTGATTCATGTACTAAGTTAACTGATAAAAACGAGTTCGATGTAGTTTTTTTATTCAGTTTAAAGGTGTCATTCAAACAAATATGAAGCTCGTCATTTTAGCCATTATATTTTCTGCAGGTAAACTTATCAAACATGTGTTTTTACCATTTATAAACAATTTTAACAGTAAACTGTTCGGAATACGTATTTTAACAGTAAAAACATCAAAAAATTGCTCCAAAGTTAAATTTTTAACAAAAAATCGTATTTTCCGAACGAAAATTTAACGACATTTTGTCTTGTAAAAAATACCGAAGATTTGTCCATATCGATAAATTTTAAACAAAACTAAATTAAAAATTTTGAATATCTCATCTTGTAAAAAATTTGTTTGAAGGAAATTTTTTTTATTAAAATTTAAATACATGTCAGACAGTTTTTATTTAAATAAACATTTGATCGGAAAAAAAGTGCAATCAAATCCAAATCCAAATTTCAATTATTTGATCAAAGTTGCTGCCTTGGCCCTTGGAGGTCATGGAGGTCGAAGTGGAGGTCAAAGTGGAGGACGCAGTGGAGGTCGAAGTGGAGGAAGGAGTGGAGGCCAAAGTAATGCATCAGAAGAGAGTAGAGAGAAGAATGGTTTGGAAGACTGTTATCCAAGATATGGAGATTTTATGAGATACAATCAGTACAGGTATAAAGTATTACACGATGATTATAAGAAGTCGTTTTTCTTGGACAGTTTATAAACTATTAACCTCCCACACAAGTCGTTAATATGGCCTAGAGATGGTTTAAGAAATAAATCTAAAATAAATTAAACCATCATTGTAAGTTAAAATACCGAATAGATTCCATTTCTAAAGTCTAATACTTTTTGGGTAACCCTGTATGTTAAAAAATTTGTAATTAAGTTAGTGTTTTGAACACAAATATAAAATAGATTAAAAATGTAAAATCGTTCAGCTTAGAGGGACTATAAGCGTCATTACAAGTGACCCTATACACAAGGATGACAATGGTTGAAATCGTTCTCTGATCAATAATGTGGACGATATTGTCGTTTTTCAAAAGTTTTAAAAGTGCTTAATTCTGAAAAATCCTTTATGTTTTTCTACAATAAAAATGTGCAGGCCACTTTTGTATCGAACGCAAAATTGAAAAAAATCAGTTTTCATAAATAAAATCATTTATATATAATTCAATCATACTTGATCAGACAACACCTATAAGCTGGTACCGTTTTAAATCGGGCATTGCAATCTTTGCATTTTAGGGTCACTTAAAATTTCGCGTACGGTCCCTTTAAAAACAATTGTTGTGTCAATAAAGGTGTAATATTTAAAGGTGTAATAAGATTTGCGAGGACGGATCAGAAGCAACAAGAACTTATTTCAGGTAAAATTAAAGGGAGTGTTCACACTAAAAAAAGGGTGTCCCACTAAACATGAAAACTTAGATTAGACTGATGAGCACCTCTGATCTTTGATTTTTATCAAAAAAATTGCATGAATTACATATAAACAGTTCATTATCTTGGAAAACTAATAATCCGTGCTTTTTGGGGGGATTTTTTGGATACGCCCTTTGTTATTAAATAGCTGGCAAATATCAAAGACGATATTTAAATTGTTTCACAGGTGTCGCGTTTATTAAAATAACAAAATTCGAATAATTTATTTAAAGTTCTAGCTTGGGAACCCAGGGTTGACCTGATTACTCACAGTTACTCCCGCCGACAAGACCAACACAACTTAGAATTTGAAAACCAACATCCCCAGGCTTACCCGAGTTCCCAAATCAAAATGTGAGACAAATTAGTCCATGGGGTACCTGCGTTTTGATCGGACAAACAAACACTAGGACACCCAAACGTATATGTTTAAAAATCTATTTTAGAGCTGGTTCTCCTTGCGCTGATAATAGTACACCACTATGTCCTTGTACTGATGGAACTAGACCCACATGTACTGATGGTACAATGGCAAGGTAAACAGTACAATATTAGAAAGCTGCACAATGTACCATATTATTGAGAGCTGCACCACACAAGTTCACAACCCTGCAGCCACTTTAGTACATGTAAATTCAACCAAGAACCAGCCTAAAGTCAGACCGCGTCAACCTAGTTGTATCAGCTAGCCGATGTATGTCCAGACTGTACACTGTATAGTCCAAATTAGGACCGCAAAGGTTGGCCCAGCTCGGATGTACACTGGTTTTGCGTGGCACATGTACAATGTACATGTATCTTGTTTATTTTTTCATTATCTAGAAAACCATGCGCTGACAGTTCTTATCCAACTTTATCCTGCACCTATAAAACCGCTGGTACATTCATTATAATAATAATAATAATAATGATGGTAATAATAATAAATTTAAAAATATATTATTATGATATTATTGTTAAGGTTGGTGGAGAAGGAAACCTGTTTGTGTTATGGTCTGCCTTGATGGAAGTTCTCCAAGGTTCAGTTTTAAACCTTCAATATATTTTAGTTTAAAGGGACTGTATGTAGACGTAATCACAAGTTTAAAGGAACTGTTTGACATTGATAGCTTATGAGATCGTGCCCGCGTTGACATTGATAGTGAAGAGTTTTTAACTGATTGGCTCTCATGCCTCGTAGCCTCATGAGAGGGATTGAGTTGTACCTGGATTGATACTGGTCTGAGAGACTCTTATGGAGTAGGGCATTTACTACAGAATTTCTTCTTGGCTTCATGCCCCTCAAATGTTTTGTTAAATTACAATTAATTTCAGATCAATCTGTGCCGACAACTTCTGTCCCAAGTGCAGTCCTTCAACATTTACTACTTCAACATCAACTGCTGCGACATCAACTGTTTCAGAATCAGCCACTGCAGTTGTAACTAATGCTGTAACTGAATCAGCAACAGCTGTGACCAATGCAGCAACAGCTGTAATTGATACCGCAACAGCTGTAATTGATACCGCAACAGCTGTAATTGATACAGCAACAGCTGTGACCGATGCAGCAGCAGCTGTAATTGATACCGCAACAACTGTAATTGATACAGCAACAGCTGTGACCGATGCAGCAACAGCTGTAGTTGATACAGCAACAGATGTTATTGATACAGCAACATCTAAATAGTCAACTTCAGCTAATATACAGGATTTCAGAGATCTAATAGACTATTGTATATTTCAGAGATCTAATAGACTATTGTATATTTCAGAGATCTAATAGACTATTGTATATTTCAGAGATCTAATAGACTATTGTATATGAATCTATTCAGTTTTATGTCAGATTTTTAGTTTTGTCTTTAAGCTTGTTTCTTTACTATAAACAGCCAAATAATTTAAATTTTCCATTAAAAGCAAATTATATGCTAGGCACACATATGTTAAACTTTCAAGTCTTTACATTTAAATTATTACAGGTGTTGCCCGTGGAATTAAAATTTTTTTTACTTTTGATTCTTAAAAAATCGATTTTTGAAATTTACAAATTTTAGAATTGTATTGTGCTTAAACCATAAAGAATAAATATTTCAATTTTAATTTAAACATCTTGGGGTTAGGTCGGTAAAGTTAGGCAATTTTTTTTTTAATCGCTTTGCATTTCTCTCATTGTGAAACTTCTTTGAAAAGGATCGTTTTGAAAACATTAGTTTTCGGTTTAAAACGATGTTTTTTAAACCATGAAAAAAAATATTGGAAGTTATACTCTTAGAGAAAGAAAAGAGAGCAATAACAAAAAAAACAAAAAGATAATTTCAAAACTTTGGAATAAGAAGACGACTTTTAGACTCAAGTTATGACTTTAAATAGCCCATTGAGTACAAGACAGAGCAAATATGCAGTCTAAACAGATCCATTTCATTTAATTAGAAATTTTATAAATTACTAGTAAAACTGTTTGCTTTGTAACAACATTTAATACACTTAAATATTACTTTAATGTCGTCTTCCTATTATACAGTTTTCTGGTTCTCGTATACATTATATACAGAGAAATACAAAGCAAAATGAAGGAGAACAAGGAACATAGAAAGGAAGATGAGAACTAACAGAAAGGAAGGGTTAAATATTAGCAAGAAAAGAGAAAGCAAGCAGAAAGGAAAAAGGATTAATGGCAAACTAGGATCAAGTTTACTTGCAGAAAGGCGCAAAAAATCGAAAATGAAAAAGGAAAAAAGAAAAATGTACAGATTAAAAAATTTAGTAAGATAAAGGAAAGAGATAAATATCAGAAAGGAAAGAGATTAATATTAGAAAGGAAAGAGATAAATATTAGAAAGGAAATAGATAAATATCAGAAAGGAAAGAGATATATATTAGCTGGGAAAGAGATAAATATTAGAAAGGAAAAAGATAAATATCAGAAAGGAAAGAGATACATATTAGAAAGGAAAGAGATAAGTACTAGAAAGGAAAGAGATAAATATTAGAAAGGAAAGAGATAAACATTAGAAAGAATAGAGATAAATATTAGAAAGGAAAGAGATAAATATTAGAAAGGAAAGAGATAAATATCAGAAAGGAAAGAGATACATATTAGAAAGGAAAGAGATAAATATCAGAAAGGAAAGAGATAAATACTAGAAAGGAAAGAGATAAATATTAGAAAGAAAAGAGATGAATATTAGGAAGGAAAGAGATAAATATTAGAAAGAAAAGAGATAAATGTTAGAAAGAAAAGAGATAAATGTTAGAAAGGAAAGAGATAAATATTAGAAAGAAAAGAGATAAATATTAGAAAGAAAAGAGATAAATGTTAGAAAGGAAAGAGATAAAT